ATAATAAAGCGTAAACACACACTTCTTTGTTGCCTAAGATGTCAGCAATAGGGAATATGCATGTTTTAAAGTTGGTTTTGATATCGCGTTTACAGTAAAATACTTCAAGAGTGTATTTCTATATAAAGTAACGTAAATGAACTGTGTATTGTCAACCATATTAGATAAGCCACTTGCTTCGACCAATAGTGTGCGTTTTAGAACTTAGCGACGGAATTTGAAAAAAGACACGTTTTAATGATTCAATTTTGTCACTAAATCATATTATATTTGAAAAAATCTTTGCAGGAATGTTTTTATAGTAATAAAGTGTACTTGAAAAAAGTTTGGTACAATTTGGCGTTATATGCATATTGCCTATTCCAGCATATTTTTGAATAATTCCTTCTTTAATAAAAAGCCCTACACTTACGTCACTTTTTAGGCTATATATTTTAACGCCATTAAACTTAGGGGGTAAATACTTTGCATAAAAACCCTAATGTGACAAAGAGACCATAAGTTGCTGCCAACATCAAGGAAGCAAGGTTGCCATCTGTCATGTCATTTTGATATTTGTAATTTGACAAATGTAAACAATAAAATAGTTTTATAGCTAGTACTTCATACATCCAAAATTGATGTTTGTTAACTTAGGCTTATCGGATCTCTTTGAAATTCGTCACTGATATGGAACACTTAGGCTGAAAAGTTATTGTTTAATTCCGTGCGGAAAATGTCGCTTATCAAAGTTCATAGTATAGAAAGTGAATATTTAATTTCTCATAAATACTCCCAAAAATAGTCACCGGAAGGAAGGTTACTTCTCATTTGATTTCCTTTCTTAGGCAATACGTAGTATCAATTATGTTATGGTTAAGTGAAGATTACGACACTTGCTAATTGAAATTAATTAAAATATTCATCAAAGGTACAAGCAACAATTCGGATCGCGAAGTAAATGAGTCTGCGCCATCGCACTGGGCGCCCTATGCTGACGCCGAGCGGGACAATCATGACGTTTACCGGAGGTATGATAGAGAAAACCATATATTTCAATGTTACATACAATTTTATTTGGTTAAATTTATTAAATCGGATCATTCCCAACCGTTACCTCACTTTGTCCCCACGTGAGAATAAAAAAAATCATTCGTTCCATCTTTTAGTCCCACTATCACCAATAAGATGACAGATGGAACTGTTATGAAATTAGTTCCAACCGTCCCCTCGTTGCAAAAGGTGGGACGGATGAAACTTGGAACAGTTCCCGTGGGAACCGAGCGAGGTGATGATTGGGAATTATCCATTAAATCGATATTTTTATACAGGTACTGACTGAGGGAGAAGAGTGGCCGCACGTCTTATGGCAGCGACCATTCTTCTGAAGATGAACAAAAACCATTCTACGCTGAAGTGCCCCTCCAGACACAACCCAATTAGTGTCCGGATTGGGCTCAGTTGGGCTAGTGGTCTGGAACCAGTCCAACTAGTGTCCGGTCTGGACCTACTTGAACTAGTGACGGTCTAAAATTATTTCAACTAGTGTCCGATCTGGACTCAGATTAGCTGGTCCGGTCTGGACTAATAAATTGTGTCCGGTCTAGACCGAATATGTGTGTCACTGGCGATTGAGTGTCGAAGATATCTCGACTCTTCTAAAGATATTTCAGCTTTTTGGTTCAATTTCCTAAAGCTGAATCTTATTTATAAATAATATAATTTATTAAGACAAATTTATAGAATACCGCCTCATGTCGATCATATTTTTTTTTTGATAATCATTCTATGACTTGACAAAATTCATATATTTAAGACATCCAGACAGGGAATATTAATTATTTGTTGTTTTTTAGTTTTTTTTTCTCAGAAATTAATGTGCACAAATGATAGATTTCTACATCAAAGACTACGTTCGATGGAACGAAAATAGTTACATGAAAAAAAGTTACAATATTCACACATCTACACTATACATTTTTAATTTCAATTTCCTTTCTAATTCTACCTCAGATGGTGTTATTTATAAGCTCTTTGGGTGTCAGCATTTAAATGTACAAATTAATATCAACATGTAGAAATTCTCGTTCTTGGACAACTCTTGTTATCTAACGTTGGTTTTCACTGCCGAAGCGTCTGTGAAAAACATCACTTTTTCGAAGAGAGTGAGTGAGATAGGTATATGTTATTGTGTATCCGTCTCATCAGAGGTCTCGTCACAGACAACTTTTAGAATAAATAGAATCACATTTTAACTTCAAAAAAGGTTATCCTCAATTTGTTTTGTTTTGTATTAATTTTTATTTCTGAATGTCATAATTAAGTTTTCAAATTAATAATTATTCAATCAAAAGTACTATTTAGTAAACTTTTTTAAATGAAAGGTAATAAAAATATGAGTGTTTCTAGAAAGATACAAAGTCCAGATTTAACAAGAATCAATAAAAGAAACGTTAAGAAATACTGGTATTGCTTATTCGAGTAAGACTTTAGCTGTTTTGGGAGCTAAACAGTTACATTTAAACGTAAAACCCTCTAAATGAGGAAACCCTTAAGTTAATACAACAGAAAAAGTTGTAAAGTTTTGAGTGACACGGGATTTGTTGATATTGCTATTTCTACCATTATAATTTATTATTAATTTAATTATATTGTGGTTTACTATAAAATCTCGAAATAATGGTTATGTTCGGCTGTGTTCTGAAGCTTGCGCTGTGAATAGCAAATCGTCCTTGTGTGAAGAAAAAGGGTTACATCTATTACGATAACGACTCGTGGAATTTAAATAATAGTTATAAATATAGCCTATGTTACTCAGTGATAACATAGCTTTTTATTGGTGAAAGAATTTTTTAAATCGATCCAGTAGTTTTTGAGTTACTTCAATACATACAAATACAAATCTTTCCTCTTTATATTAGTATAGATGTAACTTTTTTTGTTAGATGTGTCGTTTTGTTCTATGTTGACATCCACTCTGATTTATTGTATCTTTCCATGTAATTAAATTCTTAAGTTACTTGTTCACCTTATAATAGTTTAAATCCATAATGACATGTAAACTATTGTATAAAAAATCAAAGATAAATATATGGTGTAGTTGTCTATATTTCCCAGAACATGCATTTTAAGTAGAGAATACAGTAGAACCTCGATAACTCAAACCTCGGTAACTTAAAAACCTCTATAACTTCAAAAAAAATAATATGTTCCCTTCACTTTAGAGCCCAAAACCTCTATAACATACACCCTTGATAACTTAAAAACCTCTATAACTTCAAAAAAAATAATATGTCCCCTTCCCATCAGAGCCCTAAACCTCTATAACATAGACCCTTGATAACTTAAAAACCTCTATAACTTCAAAAAAAATAATATGTTCCCTTCACTTCAGAGCCCAAAACCTCTATAACATAGACCCTTGATAACTTAAAACCTCTATAACTTAAAATATTTTGTGTTTCCCTTGGACTTTAACTTATCGAGGTACTAAAACAAATACAGATTTGTATTAGCTAACGAGTGAAGTAGTGACGATTTATATGTTAAATAATTTTTGACATGTACGTGAAAAAAATATTCTAACTACTGCATCATTTTTTTGACCTTTTTTTTATGCAAGTTGAAAATCTTTAAAATGTAACTAGTTTTGTCTTGACTCGTTAAATTCAATTTATTTCTGTTTAAAATATTCCTACAATATGTGTATAAACGAAGTTTTGAACTATTTTTTTTTTAAATCAATCAGTAAAAATCTATAATTGTTTTGGGAATTTAAAATATTAAGACATATAGTTACGGAAATCTATGTTATTTTTGTATATAGATATTCTAATTTCTAAAGTATAAGACATAGTCATTATGGACTTAAATTTAAATTTAATATTTGGTGGTGTAAGTTGTGAGAGAGGTTAGGTTGTATGCGAATGAAAAACATTTTGTATTTATTGTCGTTTTGTTAAGATATAGCATATTCCATTGTAAGTGTTATTATAAGGAGTGTCACGTCGCCGCGGCCGCTGGACGTCGTGCCCACACTTCCAAAATGTAATACTAAAGAGTAAAATAATGTAGAAATAAATGTAAATATTGTGCTCATGTTTTGTTTATTTCGTGCCCACTCGCGTTCAATAAACCTATTATGCAATATTCTTATGGCAATTGTGGGTAAAAATTAAAAGCAATATTATTAAACTCTTTAATAGACCAGAGGATCTATTATGATTTACGTGACGGTTGCAAAAATCTATTCGTAACGGTTTCGACGTTTGTAAGATTCGTTAGTGTATTTTACGATCAGTAGGGGCGCTGCACAAATCTAAATGTTCTCACGAATATTCATGATAAGCCCTTTGATAAGGTTCGGGCGAATCTCGAATGTTTAGATGCGTCATTTTAATTGGGGCGTCTTAACCATATAGAAATATCTGATTATTATAGTTTTATAATTCAACAATATCAGTATTCACAGGCGGTTTCCTAGCCGAGGGCATCAGCCGGAACCTCGGCAACCAGACAGCCAAAATAAATGTAGTTATCCAAGGCCGGATGCGCGCGGCAGTTCGATTGCCGCGGTCGAACGTGCCGCGCGCCTATTGGCTATTTGCCGAATACTGATCGCTTTAGTCGGCCGTTGGCGCGCTCTACAGAAGGTTGGTTCGCGCGGCAATTAGAATGGACAACGATAAATGCCGCAAACTCATACAATTATATGGGGCTAATGAGTTGATGTGGAACAGCAAATTACCTCAATACCACAATAAGATATTGAGGCTTGAGACTTGGATGGAAATAAGTAAAAAATTGAACGTTCCTATACCCGAATTAAAAAAGAAAATGACCATACTTTTGGCTTCATATAGAAGGGAAAAGTGTAGAATAATGAAAAGTCTTTCGTCTGGTAAGCATCTTTATGTTGGATTAGGATCTGACTTAAAAATGGTGGTATAACTAAAAATTTAATTTCGTTACAGGTAAAGGTGAGGTTTATGTTTCCAAGTGGTATGGTTTTGAAGACTTTAAATTTATGAAGGACAAAGAAATACCACATGAAACGTTAGACCCGGTTTATAATGTAAGTATTATTTTTAAACCTATTTCGATAAGATAACGCGCGAACTAGTAGCCATTTGTATTGGTCGCTGCGTCAATAAAAATGACAAACGGGACTTCTATAAAAGTGGCGCGTTAACTGGAAGGGTGAAGTGTATTCACCCAGTATTTTATATCATGTTTTCTACCCTTGGAGTTCATCGAAAAGAAATTATTCCTTATAATGATTTATAGAATTTTAATAATAGAATACGGCACTTATTGAGTGGATATTGATATCGTCTCTAAAACCTTATTGCTAATTCAAATATATTTAACAGATATCTAAGCGTTAGTGCATTGGAAATAATACTGATTTCATTATTTTTTTAGACAAATAATGACGCGGAATCTTTAGCTTCGGAAGAAAATAAAACAGAACCTCAAAATCCTGAAAGAAAAAAGAATAACGAAGTTGTTTTTCCTATACTTAGAGAACATCTGACACGGGGGAAAAGAAAAAGATTAAATACAGATGATTCCTCTGAGCAAAAAAAATCATTTCACAATGTACCTGAAACCACAACATCGACTGATTTATATTTCTCTTACGGGCAATACATTGCTAACGAACTCCGAAAATATGATCAACACACTTTAAGTTATGTGAAACAAGCCATAAATAATGTGATATTTGAAGCTGATATAGGGAAATATTCAAAATATGCAGTTGACCAAAATGAAGAAATATATTATAGTACGACGCCGTCCGCGTCCCCTCAGCCTACATCCTTTCCACAGGCTCCAGACCCAATTTGCACACCTAAACTTGAATCGAAGCCATCCCCTATATATAACGAAGACTTTTAAACAATAAATATTACTATTCAGTAAAAATTATTTATTTTTGTGTCAATCACGGAATAACTACTTTTTCTTACGTCTCTGAGGCTCTCTGAGTCTCTCGCTCATGAGGACTAGGAAATATGAATCTCATAGTTGCAGATATTTAGCCTACTGCCCTGATATTTCATATTATTTAACGATAAACAATTAAAACGACCAGACAAGGTCAACTGTTATTGCAATTGTTTAATTAAAACGATGTTATTATAACAAAATATTTAAAGTATTTAGTTCATGTGGTACTTCAAGGTTGATAAGGTAAATTGAGAGTTTACATTGACCCACAACCGACGTACCCAGTACTCACTAATAATATTCCAATTCTGCTTACCTTAGTTTTGTTATATACCGGCTTTGCCCAGCGATTTCAGTACTGCATTGGTTCTACAATCATGCCCAGTCAATAAATAGTTTTAGTATGAAAAGTGCATCAGACGATAAAAAAAAATGACTGACAATTACAAGGATCAACTAATAGGAATAGGTTTATTAAACGAAAAGACTAGATGTATAATACATAAATACAAATTGATGTTTCGTCTAGTGTTTTTTTTTAAAAAATACTTAGATGCACGGGTCTGTCATCCCACTCGCGAGGCATTGACCTCTGACGAAGTCCTCTATTGACATGTATCTCTTATTTGACATAATGAATGCAGAGCCGGCTCGATCCGCCTCAAAGAGGTGTCAATCATTATCTATTTGTTTGGCGAATAAATCTGTGATATACTGACGAGCGATGTCGCCAGTGTAATCAGTTTGCGCCCTTCTCACATTTTTCTGAACAAGCTCTAACATCTCTTTCGCTCGAAGTCAACGTCCCGCAGTGCGTCCTGCTCGCACGCGGGGGACGCGTCTCGCCCCTCGCTCCCCGCGCCCGCGCTCGCAGAGTGCCGCGGTCGTCCGCCGACTCGACGCGGCGCTGACGTGCGATACGCTGAACTAGTGTTTCCACCGTGAAATCACCACTGTTATTTGTTTATACCTACTTCGGATTTGATTACATGGCTTCAAGAATCTACTGTCGATCTTGTGGTGTACTGTACCTGTACGTGTGAAGTTTGAAACGACTTATATTGTGAATCGGGTCAGCCGTGCTCGTTTATGTGCTGAATGGTGATTAAAAGTAATTTACTTCGCTTTTACGGTACGGAGGGTCGGTCGGTTCGTATCGATCGCTTATCGAAACAAAGCGCTGGATTGTTTTGGCCGCGTGGAAGAGGCCGGTGCAGCTAGGTAAGATTTTTATGTATGGAGTAATAATGTAAAAGGAATGTGTATAAAATATAAGTGAACATGTACATATCGATTGCATGTGGTAAAGAGAAGGTAATTGCCCGCTCGTGAAGCTTCATAATACAATTTTAAGTTGTCTGGCATGTTTGAATTTATTGTAAGAACACGTTTCTCGTCCTCGCGACTTAACAGTACATTTTTCTGTTCGGTATCCTCACAATACGTATAACGAAGCGTAGGCTCGCCTGCGATCGTTGGGCTAATAGCTTCACATTCTGTGAGTAATGCCCTTCCCTAATGGGATAATGGCTCTCGGCCGCTGCGCTCGAAATATTTATAAAGCGGTGGAAGCGCTCCATGTCAACACGCGGTGGCTTGTTTGCCTTCCCATTTAGACTATGAGGAAGCCGATAAGGCGAGGTCTCAAGAGCCGACACTCGCAAATGCTTGTTTTTAGCTTTTTGACTTTAAACCGCATCTAGTTTACATTATTATCTTTAAAATTTTCATAATAATATCATTATTTTTTAATAGCATAACTTCATATAACATTTTGTAAGTCGTAAAAATTACACGGAAAGATAAAAATGTCTAGAAAAACTGATAAATGTCGGGTCAAGCTAATAAAGCGTGTAGAAAATAGTAACTTAAAACTAGCGATGATAAAGCATTAAAATGTCGTGAAGGCTGCTAAGCTGACGGATCATTATACCGCACTTGAAGTAATATGACTAAATAATCGGGATTCTAAATCCTGTAATCCTAATAAAACCCTTTTGCGCGGAAGCTCCAACTTGTAAACCGCCATAAATCCTTGCGGGCTAATGAATGTGTGCGAAAATGATCGTGTCACTTTATTTTTATCTTTATGGACTAAAGTTTAAAGTTCATTTTTAAAAATTGGCAATTTTTGTATAGATGTTTATAATTAAACGAATCATAATAACGTAATGTGCTGGTTGGTATCTTGGTATAATATGGATGCCGTGTTAAAATTGTATTAAATCTAATAGTTTCTTCGACGGTAAAAAATATCATAGATGCGAACTAATATTATCTTACTTCTTACTAATATTATAAATGCGAAAGTTTAGATGGATGTATGGATGTTTGTTAGTGTTTGTAGCCTAAACGGCTGAACGGATCTCCATAAAATTTGGCACAGGTTTAGAGCATAGTCTGGAAGAACACATAGGCTACTTTTTATCCCGGGATAAGTTACGGTTCCCGTGGGATGCAGTAATTTAGTTTTTTTATGTTTACTCGATCATTCTGCAACGGTTCAACATATCTTATTGAAATTCGGCACAGATGTAAAAAGTAAAGTCTGGAGTATACATGGGATAAGCTTCATCCCCGAGGTGTCCGGTTCCCGAGGGATACGTAGCTTTTTGTTATTTATATAGTTCGTATGTTTTCTAATACCACGCGGACGAAGTCGCGGGCAACAGCTCGTACATATCATAATTCAAAAAGGAAATAGTACTAACCGTCCCTTTAAAATACGAATAACAAAGCAAAAAAAACCTTACAGTTTTAATTAAAAAGAAATGACGATGCAAATACCAAGGTATCATAAGCTTGACGCAGTCAACATCTTCAGTACTTTCCAGAATGTTCGGTCAATAGTTTCCGTAATTACGAGACATCGGTACAAAGAAAGGCGCTCCACGCTTGACATACGTCGCTTTCTTTCCAAGACTTTCTAAATCTAGGAAAAAAGATGACGTTAAGGCAAAAAAAGACTGCATTTGCATTTACGTCAATCTAATTAAAGTAATACGATTGTTATAGATTGTGTTTACTGCAGGTGTGTACAATAATGGATTACGTACAGAGTTGCAAGTAACTTGCAAACATTGTTGAATACATGTAAATAATGGTCATCATTTTCAACCGTAGGATTTTCTTTTAATATGACGCAATCCGATGTAATTCATGTATAAAATGCATGTATTATGTATGTAATTAATTCAAACAAAACAATTTATCACTCAAATAATGTCCAACTATTGAAATTATATAATTAAACAAGAATCAATTATATGAAATGGCGGTTGGCGCTGACATCCCATTAACTTGCATAAGCCATTAAATCGATTGCATAAAGGTTTTCGTGAACACTAAATACCAACATCGTTTACTTTTAATGTATTGATGTTGTAAATACATAAACATGTCTATATAAGTATAAGAAGATTTAAACATCTTAATTACACTCGCAATCTATATATAATAAAAAAAAAAAATGTCCTAAGCTAAATTTTTTATAACAAACGAAAAAATGTTTTTTTTTTATCTTATAGACAAGAACGCTAATTTTTATGATTCTCTGCACAATTCATTTTTTCTACATTTGATAACGTAAATCTTTTAATAGGTCGTAAATTTGTAAAAGTACCATCCAAGATAACCAATTAAGACAAAACTAATTACGAATCTCATTAACTTCGTCTGCTTACTCGCAGACAAATATGTTTTAAATTAACTCTTATTGACAATTTAATGATATATTGTTAACTATTATTTTTCCATACATTTTATTTACAATAGTTAACAATAAGTAAAGAAAATAAAAATGACCCCAAATTTCGTTACGCGTTTTTGAACTAAACTATTTAACTACGTCGTAATCTCAGACTCCAAAAAATCAACCAAACCAAACCCACCTGCACTACCTTTCGTATAAAAAAAGAATTATCAGAATCTGTCCACTAGCGGCGGAGTTATGCCGTAACACACATAAAAAAAACATACAGACGAATTGAGTACCTCGTCCAAAAAGGTAAAGAAATGTATATTGAATACTGTAGCCAAATTTGTCTTGGTGCAACCTCGCATCTCGCTCGACGGGGAGGCGGTGCTAAAAGGTTAATTCATGACACGACTAAAGTCAATTTGCACGGTCTTGTAGCGGAAAGTGGCTAGCCTCTTGCTTTAAACGATATATTGGACAGTAGGAATTAAATGTTGTAAGCCCATGATTTAGTTTCAAGAATCACGTTTTGTTACATATTTTAATACGTCTTGAGACATGACTAGGATAATTAAGGAATAAGTATGGTCTAAAACTTATCAAGTTATCGTTATTTCTAAATTGAAGACTATAAATCATATCATGTATACTTCTATACTATTATAATAAAGCGTAAACACACACTTCTTTGTTGCCTAACATGTCAGCAATTACAATATATTTTTGAATAATTCTTATTATAATAAAAAACCCTACACTTACGTCACGCTTTAGACTATATATGTTCACGCCATTAAACTTAGGGAGTAAATATTTTGGATAAAGACCCTAATGTGGGAAAGAGATCATAAGTTGCTGCCAACATCAAGAAAGCAAGATTGCTAAGGTTTGTCATGTCATATCATTTTGACATTTGCAATTGATTATTTGACAAATGTAAACGATAAAATGAAGTTTTTATAATCTCCTGCGGATGAAGCCACATGGGAATAGCTAGTACTATTATAAATGTCAACGTTTAGATGGGTGGATGTTTGTTAGAGTTTGTAGCCTAAACGGGTGAACGAATTTCCATGAAATTTGATATAGATTTGGACGATAGTCTGGAAGAACACAGGATACTCAATTTTTTTTTATCCCACGCGGCCAGAGTCGCGGGCGAAAGCTAGTGAATAATATAATTGATCAATAACGCTGAGAATGTTAGGCTACCAAAGATGTTTTGTCTACAATTGTTTCTCTCTTAAAGTGATGAAGACTTATTTGACATCTTTGTAAATGAAATTTCTCTGTTTATTATCCTTTTAAATATTTAAGTTATCTGGTGAATTTATTCCGTGCAAATTACATCTTTTACACCACTTTTATGTTCACGTTTGATTAAATTTGTAACGAGTGCGGGGGAATTTGGTCGTTCACTTCAACTTTGAGCTATGAAAAGACTAACTTTTAGGTTATGTTTAACTGTCTCAAGAATTAAATATTTATTGATGACTTTAGGTTTTAGTATGTTTGATTTAACGTAAATATAAATATCTTAACGATAAAAAACATAATTAAAAAGATAAATAACCATCTTGAAAGTTATAACGCGAATGCTGGTTTTTATGAGATTACTAGGTTTCAACTGGATTCGCGCGGAATTATAAAAAACAAAAGCCTATGTCTTCTTCCAGACTATCCTCCACATCTATCTCAACGTTTATTCAAGTCCGTTAAACCGTTTAGGCTACAAACTCTAACAAACATCCATCCATCTAAACTTGCGCATTTATAATATTAGTAAGATTAAAACAAAGAAACAATAAACGTAATATCAGATTTGAATAAACCATTATTGGAATAAGTTGAATTGTAAGGCTTTCATTAATGTTGATATTATTCCTAGAAATGGTATTCAGTAGTATTAAAAGCGTAGTAAAGCGTTGAACCTTGTTTGTTCTTTTTTAATCGTTCTGAGAACGTTTTAGCTTTCTTAAGATTCTTTAAGTCGATCGTAATCTTGTACTTTTTATTCCGGGTACGTTTTTATTCCTTTCATTCTTAATATAATTTGTAGACTTCTGTGAAATGTTTACTATTACGGATTAAATTTGAATTTTATATATACTATACCTTGCTAGGTCTTATCTAGAATGACGTTTAAATTTTAGGGACCCTAGATTTTAGGCTTCCTAGAACTAAATTGAATGAATAGGAATAGGAATTAAATTTAATTCGTTTAATGGATGTTTGTTTCTGTATATCTCCAGAACAAATCAACGGATCTCGCTGAAAGGCACTCACAGAACATAGCCGCTAAGAACACATAGGCTACTGATTTTTTTTTCCGTACAGACGGAGTCATGGATGACAGCCAGTATAATGTTTATAGAAAAATACGCATTCATACAAATGACCTCTATTGGAGATACGAGAACACTAACGTTGTCTGTATTCTACCTTTTGACCGACTTCACAAAAGAAGGAGGTACTCAATTTGTCTGTAAGGTTTTTTTGTTCATTGTTTTTTTATTAGTTAAAG